TGTGCTCCACTTAGGACTAAATCAACAATTGCCTCTCTCCTTGTAGGCTCCAGGACTAGCTGCTCCAAGAAGCAGTCATTAACTGTGTCGAAAAACTTTTTATCTCTACAGCCCATCCTGAGGTGACATTTACCCGGTCAATATAGGGATAGTTGAAATCCCCCATTATTACTGTGTTTTCTGTTTTTATAGCCTCTCTCATCTCCCTGAGCATTTCACAGTCATCACCACCATCCTGGTCAGAAGGTCGGTAGTATATTCCTACTGCTATAGTCTTATTATTCAAGCACTGAATTTTTATCTATAGAGATTCTATGGTACAGTTTGAGTCATTTAAGATTTTTACTATATTTTCACTGTATGCTTTCTTCCACATATAGTGCCACTCCCCCCGCTAGCACGACCTACCCTGTCATTCCTATATATTTTGTACCCTGGTATTACCCTGTCACATTAAATATCATTATTCCACCAAGTTTCTGTGATGCCTATTATAGCAATACCCTTATTTAATACCAGGCACTCTAGTTCATCCAGCTTAGTATTTAGACTTCAAGCATGTGTATACAGGCACTTATAAAATTTGTAACTTTTTAGTTGTCTACCTTCATATGATGTAATTAATAGGGACTCTTTTTAATTTGACAGTTTCTCTTCTGTTCCTACCTGTATTTCATCATCTTCCATCCTCTCCTCCTTACTAGGACACAGAGAATCTTCATTAATAGATCCTCCCCTAAGGGATGTGTCTGTCCAAACCATGTGCTACTCTACACCTGCCAACTTTCTCCCAGCCCTTAGTTTAAAAACTCCTCCATGACCTTTTTAATTTTACATGCCAGCAATCTGGTTCCATTTTGGCTTAGATGCAGCCCATTCTCCCTTCCCAAGAGGTTCCCCAGTTTCCAATAAACCTAAATCCCTCTTCCAAACACCATTATCTCATTCACACATTGCGACCCTGCAGTTCTACCTCTCTAACTGGTCCTGCACATGGAAGTGGAAGCACTTCAGAAAATGCTACCTTGGATGTCCTGGAGTTTAATCTCTTACCTGCCAGCCTAAACTTTTTTCTCCAGGATCTCTCTCCTACTTTTTCCTATATCATTAATACCTACATGTACATGACCACCGGCTCCTCCCCAGCACAGATCATAATGCTGTCTAGATGTCTCAAGAGATCCACAACCTTCACACCCAACAAGCAATTCACCATGTGGTTCTCCCAGTCATCAGAAACCCAACTATCTATATTTCTAATGATTGACTCCCCCATTACTATTACTGGTTTCTCCCTAATGACAGGGATTCCCTCCCCAGGAAGGTATTCTCAGTATGAAAGGATACCATGACATCATCTGGAAGGAGGGTCCCAACTGTGGGATTGTTTCCCTCCGCTCTAGTTTGATGTTCTCCTTCCCTGAGACTTTAATTCTCCTCAACAGGACAGAGGCTATTAGACTGGGAGTGGGACCATTCCACTGTGTCCTGGAAAGTCTCATCTATGTACCTCTCTGTCTTCCTTAGCTCCTCTAGTTCAGTCACTCTGGTCTCAAGTCATACCCTAACAATCTCTTTTTTTTTTCTTGCAGGTAACACTTAGTACACCCTAGTCCCTAAGCCTACTTGAAGAGCATTCCTGTGTGGTATCCATCACCTATCACTGGACACTCTCACAGTAATTACCAAGTTCACTGCCTCCAAAGAGACAGTGTACGCACCAGCTTACTTGAGTCTACTAAAATTCATACTTTGCTCAATATTACAGCATCCAGATCTACTTGTGATAAAACAGAGAAATTTATTAACAAAGATAAAGATTCAATTGATACTGAGTAAGGGTTTCAGAAACGGAAATGGTTACAAATGAAACAAAACTATAATATGCTTCTAAGAGACTAAACACAACTTTAACAAGCTACAATTCCTAGGCTAAAGCAATTTTTGTAACCTCAAAGACTTTCTCCAGAGCTTGCTGATTTTTCAGTAAAAACAGATATTAATGATTTCCCCCCATAACCTGCCTGGGGTCTCCCCAGTAAACAGATAACAAAATATCTTTTTGCCTCACCTTGTATTGCCCCAAACTCACTGGTTTGACCCCAGAGACAAAAACTACCTCTTGAGGCTTCAGTCTCTGAGTAAGGATTGTTGATTTCACATATCCCACTCAACCTGGCTTTTCCTGTTGACTTGCTTTCCTTTTGTATAGATTTCGCAATGCGTAATTTACATTAAAGGCAGATAACTACCTTCCCTCCTATCTAAAAGAAAACCTGTTTCTGCCTTTGTTTCTTTGCACACTTCAAAGCATAGTATCAGTAAGTTTCCATAATTTCTCATGTAGTGTTAATACAAACATTTCATAATGATATTAATGACCAGTGTGTTACCAGCTTTCATTTGATACCTTACAAGACACTCCTTCTAGATACATCCTATTACAATAATGTATTGGGTGTAGTAAGGGGAGATTGGGTTTGTGTATTATGTCTACTGAGGAGCTGCTGAAATCATGTTCTACTAGATTTTGGTGGTGGTGGGCATGGAGATGAGGAAAGAGTGAAGTGAGAGGGTTGTGGCTGGCAATACATAGATTCTGCTCACAGATTTTCTCAGAAAGAAGAGTAATTTGGTGCAGCTCTTCCTTCCTTTAATCTCTCTGCAGGTCAAGCCTTTGTCATTTCAGGGAGACTTCAGAATCTTCACTTCTTTCCCTCCCTTTTATTGTCTTTCTCACTAAACCCCCACTGCCTGCCAGCTGTAGATTGAGCTTTGAGTTTTGCTTGCAATTTCTGACCACGCAAAAGAGGACCATGTATAGAAAATTCTGGAGCATAGAGATAAAATGTGGGAGTGGGTAAAAGTCCTTTGGTGCCTCCATACAAATGCCAGGTGCTTTGGTGGGTGAATTTTGGGGAAATTAGGAGAGATTTGCCTCCAAAATAGTTAGAATTTCTGTAGAGAATTTTTCATTTCATTTTCCTTAGTTCATTCCTGTATTTCTTTACCAGACCAGATCATATTGAGATACATGGTGGTTCATTCAAACTGTATATTTGCTGACTAACCTGAACTACTGTCTGTGCTGTTGGACCAAGACCAACAACAAGATGCACTATCGGAGTCTAACAGTTTTTATCAGACTGCACTCTGAACTCCTCTCTTGCTGTAATTTTGTAAAGAGAATAGCAAACATCTTATTTTTTCAAATCAAAAGTACAATATTGGATCCTTTGTATATTCAAAACTTCAGCTCTGTTACTATGAAACATATTTTCAAATGAATGGGACATTAGAAGGGGCTAATATAATTAGTCACAGTGGATAAATGCCTTAGCTCATTGGTTCCCGTGTGACAATCAGCAACGAAATGGTTAAGAATGTAAATAATTAAGTTGTTATATTTAGGGTTCAGCATTAACAATCAAATAGTTTAGTCTTCTATTAGCGCTATTGTTTCACTCTGCACACACTGAAAGATGACAGAACATCAGTTTGTATTGTGAAGGCTCTTTCTAAAACATGAAGTTTGGGGATTTTTTTTTAAATGAAAGCTTAGAGTCTGGTGAATACAGTGAAATCTGCAGGAAGTCCATTGGTAGTCTCTAAATCCTCCGACTTAGCAGATTTTCTTTGCCTATAGTTTGCTATTGTCCAACAGCATGAGTAATAAACAGGATGAATTTAAATTAATAATGCTGGAGGAAAAGTATGCAAAAATAGCAATTACTGCAACATGGTGGGATGAATCACACAACCAGAATGCTAATATGGATGGGTATATATTGTATTGAAGGCAATAAAAATAGGAATTAATAGAGAAACATCACTTTATGATTACATTTTCATGATAAGAATATTGTTAAATAGAATCAAGCCTAAAAATACATATACATTTCTTTAAAGCATTATTAGAAGATTATTTAAAAAAAACAGAAGTGTTTAAAAGCCAAGAGTTTTGGAGTTAAACTTACATAAAGAACCATAGCTATAGACCTGTATCACTTAGAGTACAACTGCTGAGCCACCCCTCAATGACCGCATCTTTTAGGGTCAGAAAGTTATTAATGGGACATACAAGTTTATTTATTATAGGTATTGCAACAGCTTTGACAACTTGCAAGAATCATTGACTCTAAGGCCCACAACTGCTGCCTCTGAATTTTACATCAACATTTTTATTCCCACCAAGGATACCTCTAGTGCAGTAGTTAACATTAGGTCTATTTTACATCAATTAGACATATCTATTGGCTTGGGGGAGGAGCATGTAAAATTAATGGTGTTTAGGAAAAACAATCATGACAAACTTTCAGCTTTAATGACCATTTTTTATTTGCAATGTTATTTTAGAAATAGAAACAGCCACAAACTGCTTAGATGAGCACTGACATCTATGGGGATGGGGAAGGGCTGGGACTTAACAAAGCTTTTTAAGGTTCAGAGTTCCATTAAATATCCAGACTTCCTAAAAATACTCAGAGTTACAAAAGATCTCTTAAAACTGGGTGACTGGGGAACAATATAGCAGATGAAATTCAGTGTTGATAAGTGCAAAGTAATGCACATTGGAAAAAATAATCCCAACTATACATACAAAATGATGGGTTCTAAATTAGCTGTTACAGCTCAAGAAATTCACACAGCTGATGTCACCATTAGTGACACCCAGCTGAATGCTGTTGTAGACTTCTGCTATCTTGGTAGTATATTGTTGAATGATACTACTATAGACAAGGAGCTAACAAGTAATATCAACAAAGCCAGTTATCATTTATCAGGCTATCAGGCAGAGTCTGGCAGAAACAGCATTAAGCTTTAAACCAAGTTAAAAGCTTATAAAGAAGTTGTGCTGTCCAGCTTGTATGGGTGTGAGACCTAGACCTGCTACAAGCTTCTAGATAAGTTCCATTTATGACACCTGTGTCCCATATGTTTCATCAAATGGCAGGATAAAGGTACCAATAATGAAGTTCTGGAATGTTGTCACTCCACAGGGATTGAAATCATGCTTACTTCATAACAGTTATGCTGGGCTGGACACGTGTTGAGGATGGATGACAGCAGAATGCCAAAACAGTTTCTGTATGGCAAACTGAAAATGAGCAACTACATACAAGGTGGACAGAAGCAATGCTTCAAGGACACACTGAAGCATAACTTAAAGCAGTGCAACTTTGCCATTGACAGTTGGGAGTCATCAGCACCAGACAGATCACACTGGTGAGTAGTCATCAATGATGGAGCTATCCAGTTCGAGATTAACTGCAGTATGGATCTTGAGGCACAGAGGCTGAGTAGAAACCAGAGGAAGACTCGGAAGGCCCAGATTGTAATCTCTTCCTCAGCAACAAGCTACCGATGCACTTCCCTACAAAAAGGACTGTGACTCGCACATTGGGCTTTTTAGCCATAACCATACTCACAAGATGTAATGCCATTGTCAACATCATCGGTCACTAAATACAATAACAACCATTTAAGAAAGATCTTGGAGTCATTGTAGATAGTTTCTGAAAACATCCTCTCAATGTGCAGTGGCAGTCAGAAAAACTAAGAATATTACAAACCATTAGGAAAGGGATAGATAATAAAACAGCAAATATCATGATGCCCCTATATAAATTCATGCTACATCTACACCTTGAACAGTGTGTGAAGTTCTGATCACCACATCTCTCTCTCTCTCTCTCTTTTATATATAAAAATTGGAAAAGGTACAGGGAAGAGCAACAAAAATGATTAGGGGTATGGAACAACTTCTATTTGAGGAAAGATTAAAAAAACTGGGACTGTTCATCTTACAGAAGAGATGAGTAAGAGGGGATATGATAGAGATCTATAAAATCTTAAATGGTGTGGAGAAAATGAATAAGGAAGTGTTATTTATCCGTTCACATAATACAAGCACCAGGGATCATCCAATTAAATTAATAGTCAGCAAGTTTAAAACAAACATAAGGAAGTACTTCTTCACACCACACACAGTCAACCTGTAGCTTGTTTCTACGGGATGTTGTGAAGTCCGAAAGTATAAGTGGGTTCAAAAAAGAATTAGATAAGTTCATGGAAGATATGTCCCTCATTGTCTATTAGCCAAGAAGGTCAGGAACACAACCCCCTGCTCTGGGTGTCCCTAAACCTCTGACAGCCAGAAGCTGGTTCTGTACAACAGGGGATGGATCACTCAATAATTGCTCTGTTCTCTTCATTCCCTTTGAAGCATGTGGCACCAGCCACTGCTGGAAGACAGGATACTGGGCTATATGGTCTGACCCACTAAGGTCATTCTCATGGTCTTACGTATACAATAGTTGCTTTTGTTTCTAATTGTAGGTCTTGATATTGCACTGAGAACCCCTGTAGGTTAGGAGTGTGTCTATGTGGATCCCCATTACAGATAATACCCCCATTCAGGGGTACACACCTGTGACTCTTAATGCAAGATCAGGGCCTATAAACCCTATGCATTTTGCTGTGTCTTGCACACTGATGGTTCTTAATTATTAATATTAGAAAGAAAACTGAATAGTAAAAAAAGACAAACGTAAAATGAAATTTTAAAAAGAACTCAAGCACAATAAGTATTTGTCTAATGAAATTCAAAAGGAAGAATTGCCAGAAGCAGAATACACACTAGCAGTTTAGAGAGAGTAAGCAAGAAAACAAATGACATTATTTTAATAAAATTATACAAGGAAAAAGAAAGGCCAATGATAAAATAGAACATTAGTCTGACACAATTGCTGATAAGTCAAAAACAGTAGAATTCCTATATTGTTTTCCCCCCATCAATTTTTGATAGAGACAAAGGAGAAACAGAGAACTACTAGATGCCAGATTCAAGCAACAGAGAGGGATGTGAAGAACTAGATTGCACTAGGAAGAAAGTAGAAGATGCTTCCAGGTCTCTGGTAAATATTACAGTGGGGTTGAATAATATCAAAGGAGAAAAAATCCTAATTCATTTGACAAATGATGCAAATGAATCATTACATTTATTTATTGAATACTGTTCAACCAGTTCTAGGGATGCTTAATCATTGTGGAATAATTACTCCAATAGTTTGAGTGCCAAAACAAAATTCTTAAAATAAACTATTTGATGAATATTATTTGATCAGCTATGGGGAAAAAATCAATGCTATCATCATTGCTTTCATTTTCTCCTTTGTTCAAAATATACAGGTTCTTCTATACTCATTAATTACCCCTTTATCTTCTTTTCTACTTTTTACCTCTTGTGTTCCCTCTACTGGTCATTTCTCGATCCTTTTTCATTGTCTGTTTTCTTATGTTTATCTTCTTATTCATGTTTTTATCATCTCATTTTAAGTATTCTAAACTAATTAAAATAGTTTTGAGAAAGGTGGTATTATGCCACTTTCTCCATCTTTTCTATTTACCTCTTCTATTTAGAGATGCTTCATGACTAGAACCATTTATCTGAAATCTATCTCCATCTTGAAACTTCAGAGATCCAGAAAAAAAATTGTATCTGGAGCCAAATCATCCTCTTGTTTTGGTCTTGCAAAAATCAAAAAAAGCAAGTTCCGGTCATCCCATCTCTAATTCTATTAGTATTTGGGACCTGAGGCTGGTGTTATTAAAATAAGTAGCAAAACTCACTGATTTCATTGGGAGCAGGAATAGCCCCTCTGTGTTTTTCCATTTAATGTCCATTAGGGTGGATAAAAATCAGTGATCTTTTTTTTAATAATAAAAATATTTTTATGTAAATCATATTTTATTTAAATTCAATACAAGTTTTTAAAAGATAAAACTATTTAAAATTAAAATTGAAATTGACAAGCTACGCTAAGGCCTAAATTTAGTATAATCTATTAAATTATTTAAATTAAATGCAAAACTACAACAACAAAAAAACCCATTATGTAGTACATATTTGCTGCCAAATTGTAAAAAGAGTTCAATTCACTAATTACAGATAATACTTCCTGTTTAATAAATCAGTTAGTTTTAAATACAAAACTTTTTTTTGATGTTTTTCCCCACATGAATCCAATCCATTAAAGGTAGTTTTATTTAATTTTTAAAAATGCTTGGTTTATGCATTTTAATTATATTTGAATTTCTATCCAAATACAGCATGACACCAGTCTCAAGTAAATTAATCATAATTTAGTAAATAAAGCATGCATCACTCCCCATTTTCTGCGTAGACTGTCGGTCCTTCATCAGTTAAGACTGAGCCGATCACAACACATCTTCCAATCTTCTCTCGCTCTGGCCATCCTTTGCCATGTTTGTCCATATCTCCTTGTTAAGAAATCATCCCACCTCTTTGGAGACCGACCATTTGGCCATTGCAGTTCTCGCGGATACCACTCAGATATAGCTTCAGTCGATCTGTTGTCACTGAGTCAGGCCACATGTCCCGCCCACCGCATTTTGCTGAGCCTGCTTTCGACAACGACATCTTGGACTCCAGACTGCTGCCTAATTATTTCATTGGGGATGCAATCAGGGATCGAAATGCCAAAAATGTTCGTTCCATTGCCCTCTGTGTGACAGACAGCTGATGTTTTTCCGTCTTTGTCAGCGACCATGTTTTGCTGCCATATAGCATTTTCTAATATAATAAAACTGTAAAAAATAAGAATCTAAATTAATGTAAGCTATTTTCCTAAATAAGCATATAGATATAGTTTATTCTCATTGTTATCAAAAAGAATCCCAAAATGTAATGTAAAGGCTTTATTTAATTGCAAATGAACATGTTTTAATGGCTTCCAGCTAATGAAAATGAAGTGTTCTTTAGGAAAATAACTAAAAAAGTACAATTGCAAAACATGATTAAAATCAGTTATTTGACTGAAGGATTAGTGTTTGCTCCTTTAAGTCATGGTTATGATCAGTGATTTAAATTGCTTTGATTTAAATCAATCCACCCTGGAACTCAACTTTTGGAACATATTTACAGAAGGTTTACAAAGCTGAGATTGAAGGAAGGAGAGCATGAGGTTGGCTACAAATGATTTTAAAAATTGCAATTTTGAAGGATTTAAAAACTAAATCCTCCCATACCAACTGTTGACGAAGGAAGAAGACTTGCAAAGGACCATTTAAGATGCAAGCCCAAGCTGTGTGACAACACTGCTACATTATAGCCATCATCATCTGCTGCTGCTTACTTAAATAGATAGGCATATTTTTCAGTGGATATTCTCTTCCCAACAGCTTGTTGGAAAGTATAATAATCCTGGATAAACAATGGAAAACTTCCAAAATATTATCTCTTTATAATCTATCTATGTGAGAAATCTGTTTTGTTCTTAGAATATTGATTTCTGTCTGTCATTGTCCCTGTCTCAAAAGGACCACTGTCTGGGGATTAAATTAAAACAAGGTTAATATGGTTCTTACTGGAAGGTAAATTACAGTACTAAGATCAGTGGATCAAATTGCCTTTCTTAGCTATTTTCCTTCTAATGCTGTTAATTTTCGTATACTGTATTAGTGAATATTACGTTTAATGGGAAAGAGGCCAGAGAATAAAGTACTGCATTAAAAAAAAAATCAGAAGATTATAATCAGAGATTTAGCTTTAGTCTAGAGCCTGATTGTTTCTGTTTTTATTTGCTTGTAATTTTTTTTAAAAAATACTGAAAAATCCTTTCCTCTCCCCCCTTCAGAATCAAAATAGCCAAATAGCTTTCTTACGTATTATACAAAAATCATATTGTTAACTTTGCCTTCCTAACATAAGTCTGGAAAAACACAATGATCATTATCACTAAATATTAAGAATAAATCATTCTCTCTGTGCAGTGAAATTGTAAATTTCACAAAAGATACAACAGAGTAGAAAGTAGAGCTGAGACTGAAGCTTGAATGCTTTAGATTTAGGTTACTTCTGATTTATTTATTTATTTAGGAAATTTACAACTCTTCTGTGTGTTCCTGTAGCCAAGAGTTCTATTTTTAACCCACGGCCCCCCAAAAGTTTTCTGATTCAAAACACACCAGGCATAGAAATGTGAAAACTGTTTTGGCTTGAAGCTGGTAATTAATATTCACTTTGAAAAAAACAGAGTAGCAAGGAGAGGTCTGATGATATTTTATCTGCATCAGGACTGCCAATTCTCTTGAAAATGTGCAGGGTGTGCAAGTTAAAGATAAGTGAAGCTATATAACATAACTCTTTAACGTAGATTTTATTCTTCAAAATATTCTAATCATTCTGATCTTCATCTACAGTAAATCAAACGTTTTACCAGGGGCAAATTTCAGTAGGAAATATCAGCTTCTAATGGTCTTTTTTTTTTTTTTGGTCTCTGACTGTGAAATATCAAGTAGAAGACTAAATCTGCATATGAAAATTAACTCTGATAAGAATCAATAAAAACTATTAAAAAAGTTAACAAGCATTCTAAATTGTAATTAGCTTGTTCAGATTAAAAACAAAATCTAATGAGGGTCTACTGTGCAGTAACTGATAGTGTCTGAAAATAATAAATATTGAAGTGATAGGGCTGGGATAAAGAAACAATATGAAAAAGTTACAGGTCACAGATAAATGTAAGAGAAGATTAAAAGCCTGATAAAATGAAGATGAACCTTGGGGGGAAAAAAGAGGGAGTGGCTGAATATGAAAGGGAAATACACTACTGTAATCTACCGAGAAAACTTGGATATTAGAATACTGGAATTGGTGAGCTGCTGTTCTCCCCGTTGTTAAGGAACTAAGTAAAAATCTCTCTTCTTGTAGCGAAATGACACGAATGAAGAAAAACCTACTTAGAGACCTGAAAATAGCAGAAGTCATTGGGAAGAATAGTATGAGAAGCAGGATTCATGGCCTCAACAGTGTGCCCTCTTCCTATGATGTGGTGGCAGCTCCATGGATACTAAAGAAAACAGCCTTCTCATTTAAACAAGAGGTGTGTTGCTTTCAGTGAAGAGTCTGCTGTTCTGAAATTTATTACACTCTCTCCCCATCAGAACCTGACTTTGTTGACCTCTAAGGCATGCATTATTGTTTAGGCTTTCCCCACAGGGGTGGTTTGTATGGAAGAACTACAGTTGAGGTATATTGGGATCCTCTTTTAGAAATATTAAGCCATTTGAATTTTTATAAAAATGTTTATTTAAAAAAAAAACCAGCAATTTGCCAATAGAGAAATCATTAGGGAACTGTTTACAGAACAAACTCTAAAAAACACAGGAATTCACAAATGTTGCAGTATTAATTTGTGCATTCCCAATTCTGTTGGTCAATATCTCCCATTCAAACTGCAGGACAATTAGGAGGAACATAATGTCTAAAAATACATTTAAAGAATGCTTCAGTAAACTTGATTGGAATGTATCTACTGTCAGTATAAACTTGGTAGTTTTATACTTTGAGGTGCATTACAATTACCATGCAAATCAGACACAACTAATACTGTACAAGTTATTGCTCTGACCACTTATGCAATTGGCAGCCAGCTGTGAGCCACGTTTGGTTGATAATGATGATTAGAGCTGGACAAACTATTTGAAGCACATTAAATTATTCAACAACTGTTTTTTTTAAAACTATCTATAAAGAGATTTTGATTTTTACAAATCTGTTCCCTGTTCACTTGCTTGAGGTACACTTTAACATAGGTCAGCCTTTGGATTGCTTGCAAGTTATTCATTTTGACTGTGGGTTAGACTATTCATTATTTGTTTTGTGTGATAGTCCAATGGTGGTATTCTTGCTTCCTGCTTGGATGACCAAAACTTTTCTTAAAAGGAAGGAAAACAAAGATTTCGTAACGGCTTCATAAACATTTCCAGCACAACCACAGGCCCATGAGTATTTGGGAGAGTTCTGATTTCTATGAACATTCTTGTGATTAAAAAAAAAATCACTGATATGAATGTTAGCAGAAACTGAATTAAAAAGTTAAATTAAAAAATACCCATCTTTAGGAATCACACATAATTTTCATAAAAAACAATGTATTTTCCAGTTATGTACACAGGTGTAAACCAGGAGCGACTTTGGTGAAGCTAGTAGTGGACAGCAGGTAAGAGAAGAGAAATGTAAACTGTATCATGGATTTTTATTTATTTATTTTTAAATTGAGTAATAGGTGGCATATGAGACTTGACAAAACAAAAATCTGTGTAGTCCTAAGAAAAACCTGTTCTATGATCTGCTCTATCTATTTGCCAGGACAGGATTCTTCCCTATAATTCATTTTCTAGTTTAGGTCATTTTGTTTTTTTCAGAAAGCTATTATATCAGGTCTCCTTTAGATGAAAACCTCATATCCTGTAGTATCTAATCCATGGCCTAAAAATTATAACTAATAAAAATGAAGTTTTTGGTCATTGAAGAGAGAACCCTATAACTAGTAAACACCAATATTCCATTCTAATTAGTGAACCATAAAATAAACATTGAAAAAAATAGGTAACACAGACTGGCATCTGTGTTGTTGTCTCCTGTCTAAAGTTCATGACAAGACAGAAACAATAAGTCAGGGCCAGCACTGGGTGAGAGGAGACAGAGGATCAAGTGCATGTAAGAAGAAGTTTTGTGGGGGTAGGAGTCATGAGGGTGGGACAGAAGGCTGGAGAACAGATTTTTGCAGAAGGCAAGAAAATTATGCAATAGAGAGGGAGATTGGGGTTGTTGGAAGTAGTGAAGTGATTGTGGATGTTTCAAAAAAGTAGAATTAAAACCATAGTGAGGGCGCAAATTGGACAGCAGTTGGCCCAGATACCAAAGTGACTGTGATACCACACTCAGGGTTGGTTAAAGTGAAGGCCACAACTTTTATTAACTATGGCATAACACAGTGATGGTAGGAAGAGCCAGGCAGTTACTGATGCCTGAGCTATTGGTTAGGTGTTAGCAGGGCCGGCTCCAGGCACCAGCCTGGCAAGAGGTGCTTGGGGCGGCCGCTCCAGAGAGGGGTGGCAGGTCCAGCTATTCGGCGGCAATTCGGTGGACGGTCCCTCACTCCCGCTCGGAGCGAAGGACCTCCTGCTGAATTGCCACCGCAGATCGCGATCGCGGTTTTTGTTTTGTTTTGTTTTTTTGCTGCTTAGGGAGG